GTACTGTATGTATGTATGCATGTATGTATATACCATATTTTCAATGGTTTATTTCCATACATAACCAAGTAAATAAACTAATGTAAAAAGCGCGCGTGTGTGTGTACATATATATATATATATATGGATATATATGCACACACACACACACACATATATATATATATATACACACACACATACACACAACCATACATATATCATGCCCAGTACATGCTGAAGCGCCGAAGCGTTTAGCTGGCCCACACATTTTACTGTCATCGTGGTGATGGCGTTTGTTGTTTTAGCAAGATCAAGCAAGCTACGATATACTACCTTGAGTAGTCCACGTGCAGCCTTTTTCAGTTCCCAAGCTGTTGATTCGTCGTTTGTTGCAGCTGCTGTTTGGGCCGCTGCTGCAGCTCGTCCTCGCCTAAACCCTCGACCGTACCTAAACTTTATGCCCTAAACCCAGAAAGCCTACACCCTAAACCCTAAACCCTAAACCCTAAACCCTAGGCCCCAAAAACCCTAAACCCTCAACCCTCAACCCTAAACCCTAAGCCCTAATCTCCAAAATCCCTATACCCTAAACCCTACACCCTAAACCCTACACCCTCAACCCTAAACCCTCAACCCTATACCCTACTGCAAACCCTAAGCCCCAAAAACCCTTATGGGTAGTTCTCTAAATTAGGGTCCCTTTTTAGGGTCCTTTTCTAAGGGTGCCGTACTATATTGGGGACCCAAAAAGGGACCCTAAACCCTAAACCCTAAACCCTAAACCCTAAACCCTAAACCCTAAACCCTAAACCCTAAACCCTAAAGCCCTGGCCTTGCTCCTGTTGCAAGGCAGCTGCTCAGCGCTGTGTCATGGCTGTGAGTGGGGACAGTTGCTCAGCCCATCCGCCCTTGGACCATTTTAAGGCCCGGAGGGTTTAGGGCTTTTTGTTTTTTTTTGGGGGGGTTTTTGGGGTTTAGGGTTTTTGGGTTTTTTGGAGTTTAGGGTTTTTAGGGTTTAGGGTTTAGGGTTTAGGGTTTAAGGTTTGAGGCACACGCAATGCTGAGAGGAGAGCTGAAGGGGTTTCGGTGTCCGATGTCATGGGGCCATGCGCCGATCAGACCAGTTTAGGGTTTAGGGTTTAGGGTGTAGGGTGTAGGGTTTAGGGTGTAGGGTTTAGGGTTTAGGGTGTAGGGCCAGTGTAGGGTTTAGGGTTTCAGGAATGTCACCTGTTTGCAGATTTTTGGCCCAACCTTCGCTACTTGCGCTTCAGTGGTGGTGGTGGTGGTGGCAGTGGCAGTGGCAGTGGCAGTGGCAGTGGGAGTGGTCGTGGTATAGGTAATGGTAGTGGTAGTCGTCGTCGGCGTCGTCGCGGTAATCGCACTGGTAGGAGCAGCATGCTGTATGCAGCAGCAGTCGTCGTAGCAGCAGCAGCAGCGGCCGCGGCAGCGGCAGCAGCAGCAGGACCAGGAACAGGACCAGGACCAGGAGCAAGAGCAGGAGCAGGAGCAGGAGCAGGAGAGTCGACGAATCGCAACCCTAGCCGAAGTGGTAGTCTGATGCTCGAATGGTCATCTGCTCGTATCGTATCGTGGTATAGTCCTGGTCGCAGTCGTGGGCGTAGGCGTAGGCGTAGTTTCTATTTTTCTGCGTGGGCGAAGCTGTAGCTGCAAGTCTTGACTGGTCATGAATACAACGCGTCAATGTGGCGATGAAGTGGAACAATTACAAGCGTCATGTTCGTGATCACGAAGACAGAGCTGATGGTGAAGAGTAAGATTGGTGTGTTGATGACGATGGCGAGGATGATGATGATCGGGTTTGGGTTTGCTTGTGTCTCTCTGCTTTGGATTACCGGCCTTCTGAGCAGAAAGGGAATTGACGGAGGATGGAAGTAAATGGCACCAGCACAGATACTACATGATGCAGCTAACGCGGGAACCGGAGGTAATATAATGTAGACTATAACGCACTTCAGTATACTATCATGCGCTCGAATATAGCATAGGATAGGCTATAGTGTACTAGAATCTCCTAATCCTGAAACCCTAAACCCTAAACCCTAAACCCCCTGAGCCCTAAACCCTAGACCCTAAAACCGTGAACCCTAAACCCTGAACCCTAAACCGTTCCGGGAGGTACTGAACCTTTCGCCGGTCGCTTCTCTCTCTGAGATCACCGAAGCATACCACCAGCAAGCTCTCAGGCACCGGGCTTGGGATTAGGGTTTAGGGTTTTGGGAATTTCGGGGCTTGGGATAGAGCCGAGATCAGGGGCTTGGGATTTGGGTTCAGGTTCTCGGTTACAGGGCAGCGTATAGGCTGTTGGGCTTTGATGCTTTTTTTTTTGTCATTTGGTGCCTCCTAGATGTGTTCAAGTGCAGAGTGTTCTGAGCACCCTGAACCCTGAACCCTAAAATGAGGTCTCCCGTGTAAAGGAGGGGCCTTAACAATTAGAATAGGGATATCATAAGGAACCCCCAAAACCCTCTTCTAATGAAGGCCCCTACATTAACAAGGCCAGAGGTAGTCTCGAGGTGGGAAGTTGCTACACTCAAAGGTCCTGGGTCGCGAGCCCTTGGCGCAGTTAGACGTTGGCTGCGATATAGAAGTAAACAGTTACCACTACCATGAGTCTAGACCCTAAACCCTAAGCCTAAACCCTAAAAGGGTTACTCTATGGGGTCCTACAAGGATCCTAGAACCTGCGCCCTACACCCCAAGCCCCGTGGAAGCCTTAACCCTGAACTCCCTCTAAACTCCAATGCCGATGCCGCCATGGAGCCAGCCAGTTTGAGGACATTCGCCACCCTAAACACGGTTCAGGGTTCAGGGTTTAGCGTAAGTTTAGGCTAAACCTCCAAAACCCTAAACACAAAACGGGACGTTCGCCATCCGAACGGTTCAAAACAGGCACCGGAACACCGGAACCCGGAGCTTGCACATGCCTTGAGCCGCGAGTCCGCGTCCACCTGCCGATGCCCTAAGCCCCAGGCCCAGAACTCTAAACCTTTCAGGGTTTAGGGTTTAGGGTTTAGGAACCAAACAAGCAAAGATCGTAAGCTCGAAATCGACAAGACCCTAAGCCCTAAACCCTAAACCCTAAACCCCAAACCCTAAACCCCAAACCCTAAACCCATGAAAACCCCATGAAAACCTAAAGCCCTAAACCCCAAACCCTAAACCCTAAACCCATAAAGACCCAAACCCTAAACCCATAAAAACCCCATGAAACCTAAAGCCCTAAACCCCAAAACCCCAAACCCTAAACCCATATAAACCCTAAACCCTAAACCCATAAAAACCCCATGAAACCTAAAGCCCTAAACCCCAAACCCTAAACCCTAAACCCTAAACCCTAAACCCTAAACCCTAAACCCTAAACTAATATAAACCCCATAAAGCCTAAAGCCCTAACCCCTGACTAAGGCCGAAGGCCTCCGGCCTGAACTCTGAACTGGAGTTAAGGTTTTTGTTTAGGGTTTAGGGTTTAGGGTTTAGGGTTTAGGGTTTAGGGTTTCGGGTTTAGGGTGTAGGGTTTAGGGTGTAGGGTTTAGGGCCTTTAGGGTGTAGGTTTATGGTTTATGGTTTAGGGTTTAGGGTTCAGGGTTTAGGGTTTAGGGTGTAGGGTTTAGGGTTTTAGTTTAAGTTCCCATCAATAGGGATTTGTAGTGAACAACATGGTTTCCTTATGATGGCACCTTCAATTACTGTAGGGGCCTTAGTAATTACCTATACTATTTTGGGGGTTCCTTCTTATAAGTATAGCATAGTATACCACAAAACCCTATTCTAGTTATTAAGGCTCTTATATTAAAACCTTAAACCCTAAACACTAAATAATCTAAGCCTAAACCCTGAACCCTAAACCCTAAACCCTAAACCCTAGCCCTTAAACCCTCAACCCTCAACCCTAAACCCTCAACCCTTAACCCTAAACCCTAAAACCCTCAACCTTAAGCCCTCAAATCCCCTAACAAGAGCCCAGTGAAGCTGAACCAAACCCTAAACCCTAAACCCTAAACCCTAAACCCTAAACCCTAAACCCTAAACCCTAAACCCTAAACCCCCACCCTGGCCCGGTCGAAAGGTGGCTACCCGAGTATGACCTGGAGGAGCCTGAGGTAGCCGGAAGCCCAGCAAAAGGATCTATAAGGGTTCTGTTCAGGGTTCCGCTACCGGGGCTTTTTAGGCTTTTAGGGTTTAGGGGTTTAGGGGTTGGGGTTTAAGGGTTTAGGGGTTTAGGGCTTGGGGGTTTAGGGTTAGGGTTTGGAGGATGTGTTGGGGGTTTTGGGTTTGGGGGTTGAAAGTGTTGGGCTTTAGGGGTTGAGGGTTTAGGGGTTTAGGGGTTTAGCTAGGGGTTTAGGGAGGCTTAGGGGATAGGGCTTCAGGGGTTTAGGGGTTTACTAGCGGGGTTTGGGGGATAGGGTTTAGGGTCCAGGGTTTCGGGGTGTAGGGCCTACGGTTTGGGGTTTAAGTTCTTGAAGGGGCTTAATGATTTTGAGGGCCTTGCAGGGTTTCAGCAGGGCTTCACAAGGCTTTAATACCACTTACCACAAGTCGGGATGTACATAAAATAATGATCGGCTTTCCTCATAAGTTGGTTCATTCGACCCAGGCTTCATGGTTTCGGGTTTGGCGGGGTTTGAGCGCATTGAGGTCTTCGTGTGTCGAGGTCGAGTGCTTTCGATACGAAGCCCTGGGCCCCTAAACCCTAAACCCTGATACGAAACCCTGAGCCCCTAAACCCTAAACCCTAAACCCTAAACCCTAAACCCCTAATTAAACCCTGAGTTCCGGGCAAATTTGCTGTCTGGGTTGGGTACTGTCTGGCCGGGAGGGCACAGCAGCATTCCCGAAAGCTTCCCCGGAACCAGCCGCGAAATCCTAGCTTCCAGCTCCTAAGCCTCTAGACCCCTAAACCCCTAAATCCTAAACCCCTAAACCCCTAAACCCCTAAACCCCAAACCCCCTAAACCCCCTCAAACCCCGAGAAAACCACCCGTCGTTTCAGAGAACCAGGCCGAGAAGACTTTCGAGGAGGTTCTTGGGGCATACCAGATGATTGCGAGGAGCTACCAGCACTTCAGGGTTCGTTTTAAAGGGGATCTATAAGGGTTCTATTAAGGGTTCCTTTAAAGGGGCTACCAAGGCTTTAGGGTTCGTTTTAACAGGGATCCATAAGGGTTCTATTAAGGGTTCCTTTAAAGGGAGCTACCAGGCCTTTAGGGTTCTTCCAAAAGGGATCTATAAGGGTTCCTTGAAAGGGAGCTTCCAGGGCTTTAGGGTTTAGGGGTTTACGGCTTAGGGTTTCGGAGGTTGGGTGTGTCTAGGCGTAGGGTTTAGGGTTATCGAAATGATTCCTTCGGGTGCCTCATTCTGAATATACTATAGCAGCATCGAAAAGCCCTATTCTAATTATTGAGGTGTCTCTATTTGCAAGTTCACTAGAAATGTTATAGCTCATGTTGGTAGCCTTTTCTGAGTCAAACGAGGTCCAAGTCTCTAACTCATCAAGGGGTTTAGGGGTTTAGGGGTTTAGGGAGGCTTTGGGGATAGGGTTTTAGGGGTTTAGGGGTTTACTAGCGGGGGTTTCAATCGTTTTCAAGAAGCACTTGTTGGCTCTGCATTTACCACAGCACAATTCCTGAGGGGTGCGGCGGAAAGTGCTCTGTTTGAATAATATGGGGGCTGTAATACTTACCTGTAAGTAGTTTGGAGGCTCCGTATTATAATTACAATGTAATGGGCCCCAAAACCCTATTCTAATTATTAAGGCCCCTACATTAGGGTTTTGGAGTACTATACTGTAAACTGCAACGGCTCTTGCAAGGGTTCCTTCGAGGGTCCTCGTGAAGGTCATATAGGGGCCTTAATAATTAGAATAGGGTTTGGGGGTGTAGTATACTGTAAACATATTAAGAACCCCCCCCAAAAAAATAGTATCGGTAAATTTTTAGGCCAATTAGAGTCGTCCCTGGTGCAGCGTAGCCACGTCGACAACCGTCGGGAGTATCAGACTTATCCCGGTGCAGGCAGCTCAAGGATCGTCCTGTGGACGAGTGAGCGCTCAGCGCGTTGTGGAGCAACGGCTTTGTGAGATGCGTGTGACCGTTTTGCGTTTGAAGCGTCTGCGCGTCTCTGGTGCCTTCCGGACGCCGCCTTTGAAAGGCACCCTATTAATAGCAGCAATTCACAGTTCCCCCCAGTTTTGACCGCCGCTGCTCTTCCCCCCAACCGGGGTAAGGCCACTTGGTCTGACATCTGCCCCTCAGCCACGGGCACGGGGTGGGTCTTCCTCGCATGGGAAAAATTCGTACAGGGGACCTCCTAGCGCCAAGTGTGTGCTAGCAACATAGCTTTGGAGAGGCTAGTCTGTCAAACTCCTGAGCCAGGAACTTGTAAGTTGTCTCGAGCCATGTGGGGCCACCAGAAAATTCATCTTCTTGTTTCCGTCGGCTAGGGAGTTGATAGGAAGGAACCCCTCTTGCATGCGGCTCCATACAGGGAGCATGTTTAAGTTTTCGTTTGCAACTTTGGCGCGGTTTCAAGTTTCCGGTGCCAGGGCTCCCTCCTTTCTCGACCTACGGCATGAGAACAAAGACAGGATCCATGCCTTAGGGGCCTCACCAGCTGACATCCATGAGCGTTGAGGACGAGTGAGGCGCGAAGCGTACTCTCTGTTCGGATTCTTGCGTTTTTAGCGCCGGCCGACCCGGCCGTACGCCTAGGACCCTGGGACATCGTCGTCCTTGATGGTCGGTTTTGTACATATTTCGTTCGGCGGTCTCCCAAGCAAGGTCGGCCCTGGGCAGAGACGGACCAGGAGTCACCCCCACTAACGTCTAAAGAGTGCCAGGTGTACCCGGGGTCCCAGTTTGGGACGAGCCAATCCTTCAATAAAACCCGCAACCCCAAACCGCTGAACTCCCGGAGAGGAGGAGACCCGTGCTAACAACAGCTGGGCTGGCATGCCTGGGTTCAAAAGTGTTGACAGCTCCTAGGAGGATTCTCCCCAAAGCTTTCGGGTCTTCATCCCGACACAATATCTGTTCATATTATATTTGATTATCATATCATGTTATTTTATATCACATAATACTTTACATATATATATATATATTATATCATATCATATGTTATGGGCCCTAAGACTCCTACGCTCCCAAAGCTTGAAGGTGCTGAACCCGAGCCATAGCAGGACTTCATGCTCCCACCTTGGCTAAAGGCTTTAGGGTTTAGGGTTTAGGGTTTAGGGTTTAGGGGGTTCAACCTAAATTACCTGTACTTGTTTGGGGGCTCCTTATTATAATTATTGGCTAAAGGGTTTAAGGTAGGGGCCTAACTAATTACGTATATATATATATATACTATTTTATAATTTCCTGTACTTTTTTTTGGGGTTCCCCCTACATTAGGGTTTAGGGTTGAATGAGAATCAGAGTACGAGCAACAGCCAAAGAAGCAGAACATGGCCGGAGAAGTTTAGGGTTTAGGGTTTAGGGTTACCATGACGACTGCGAGGATAGGAAGACACAGTGCCGGGTCAAAGCAGATTTGGATCGTTGAGGCCCTCCGCAACCAAAGCCTTCTAAACTCTCGTCCCTGACCTTCTTGTTGTTCCGTTCAGTTCCCTTCTAAACCCTAAACCCGAAACCCTCAACCCTAAACCCTAAACCCTAAACCCTCAACCTTCAACCCTCAACCCTCAACCCTAATATAACCAAAACTTGCAGAGGCGGAGTTCCCCAAGGCCCCCTTAAGCCTCCTTGGGGCTTCGAGCTCGATCCTGAAAATCTTAGGGTTTAGGGTTGAGGGTTGAGGGTTGAGGGTTTAGGGTTTAGGGTGTAGGGTTTAGGGTTCCTGGTTTAGGGCAAACCCCCAGCCTCCAACCTAAAACTTAAGCTGTGCATGTTGCCTTGAACCGGCCATTTGAATGCAACCACAGGCGATAGCTCTTATGACCCTGAACTTGTAGCCAGATCCCTAAACAACCAAACCTTACAACCTTTCACTCCGCGCCCCAAAACCCAAAATCCTAAACCCGAAACCCTAAAGCTTAAATCCTAAAGCTTAAACCCTAACTCCTAACCCTATACCCCAGGCTTCCAACAGCCTTCAAACTCTAGACAAGAAGCCGGAGTTTCTAAGTGCTGTAGGGCCGTAAGAACTCGAAGCCCCAACCTTCCGAGTAAACACCGAAAGTCTCAAAACACACCAGGTGCCGCCACAAAACGAACTAGCAAAGTTGTTTTTTTCAACTCTAGGGTTTGGGGTTTAGGGTTCGAGGGTTTAGGGGTTTAGGGCTTAGGGCTTAGGGTTTAGGGTTCCTATTACCACATAAACCCTAAACCCTACACCCTAAACCCTAAACCCTGAACCCTAAACCCTAAAAGTCCCAAGGTCCTGCCAGAGCTCGGGGAGCTCCGCCAGCGAGCGCTTCCTGCGGATCGAAACCTGCCAGAGCTGCCCCTCCCTGGCGTTCACTTTTTTTTTAAAATAGGGTTTAGGGTTTA